GTCCCCGCGGAGGAAGGACATGAGCCCACAGCACTGTCTCGGCTGTGCCGGGGAACTGATATTGCAGGGATGCTCGTCACAGGGTTGTGGCAATAAAACATTGCTGAAAGAAGCAGGCAACAGGTATTGGACTCAGGTTTTTGCTTGTAGGAAATACTATAGAACAAGTAGGACTTCTTTCAAGTTTTGTTCAAGGCGTGTTTTCTAAAGTTTCTGAATAACTGGAATATTTTATTTGTCTGGGATTAAAAATGTAGAGAAATTATTATCATAGAAGCATAGATCTCAAGTTGGAAGGGACCCATAAGGATCATGGTATCCATCTCCTGCTCCTCTCAAGACTGCCTGAAACTAAACCGTGCGACTAATAGCATCAGCCAGATGCTCCCTGAACTGTGGCAGGTTTGATGCCATTCCTACTTTCTCTGGGGAGCCTCTTCCAGGGAACAACCACTCTCTCATTGAAGAAGCTTTTCCTAATGTGCAACCTATGCTTTCCTTAATGCGGCTTCATCCCATTCCAGGGACTGAAAAGCTCTCAAAGCAGAGATTACCAGTGGTTGTGTTCAGTGGTTATCTCTCCTCATACCAACGAGAGAGAGCCTGCAGCCTTCTATGGAAAGCAGAAAAAAGAAGGGGAAAAGAAAAACCATGCAACTACCTTTGAGAAAGGTACTTCTTAGGCAGGAAAGAGTTCTTAAGCCAAACAAGCCCTAGTCTCCTCATTGCAAATCTTCCAGAAGGGTATCTCCACTTACAGGGCGAAACCTTTGTACAACTTTTTACAAGTTATGTTTTGTCAGCTTATTGTTTAGTATTCAGAAATGTTTGTCAAGATATAGTATGAAGATAAATTAGGAATGGTAAATTAAGTGAACAATGAATGAAGAACATGAAGTAAGAGCAATGAACAAAAAACAATTAAATAAGACAGGAAAGAGGAACCGGAAAGAAGAACAAATAATTAAGAACATTATTAAAGAACAGGAATGAAGAACTAAGAACATAAATTAAACTTGGTTCTCCTCCTTCTTCACTTTTTTCATCAGAGATTCCACTCCAGCTGGAGACCTTGGCTGTGGATGGTGTCCTCTGTATGGGGGGAGATGAAAACATAATGAAGTTAATTCAAAGGACCCACTCAGCCTGCCCACTGCAGGAGGCACTACAAATGCCTCTGTGCGACCGGCTACTCCAGAGCTCTGTGCTCTGTCGTGGTTTGAGGCCCTTCCCCTCCTGGAGCTGGAAGATGGCTGGTTCCAGGGGTGGCATTTTTGGTGCTGAGCCAATGGGAAGCTTGAAACACCTGTGCAGAATTACATATTTGCTGGAACCAGAAAAGAAGCTTGTGGTGTAGTTGGAATTAAAAGCAGGAGACAGCAGAGGGGCCGGTGGGCCCCCACGGGGGCCAGGGGCTTTTTTTTTCCCCAGGCCCTAGCCCGGGGAACCCAGCATGGCTTTGTAGCTGGGCCGGGTGCTGGGCTAAGACTGCACTGGCCCCCCACTGCCAGCGAGAGGTGGCGGTGCAGGGGCCCGAGAAGCCAACCAGGGGCTGGATCCAGGTCCCCAGCGGGCAGGCATGGGATTGGAGCCAGGCCAGCACGGGCCAAGGGGTGGCCATGACCCTGGAGAGGCGGTGGCAGCACGCAGCAATGGAGTAGCCCGGGACGGGCTAGAGTAGCAGCCATGACGCCAAAGCAGCAGCAGCACTCAGTATGTGGAGCAGAGA